ATAAAGAAAAGAGTGGAATTTCTGCTTATTCTTCATGTTCAAACTCGGTATAACTTAGTGGGACAGTAACCTAAAATCTTCAATTTTAGAAGGGCGTCATATTTTTTTAATATACATTTCTTAAAATTTTCTTATAATATTTAAACACTATATATATAGTTTACTTGAAAATAAAAAATCCATAATTAATAAGTTGATGACTTTCTCTAAAAAAGGACCCTATAATATTTAAAACTTATTTAATCTCAAAAAGGTATTCTCTATAAATTTGTTATTGAAAGTAAAAGTAATACAAATGATGAAATAATAGAAGAAATGATAGGTATAGACAAATCAAAAGATAAAAAAAAATAGTAGATAATGTTATGGTTGAAAATGAAGCATGTAATTAAATAAACTTACCAAACAGTCGAGCTGCTCGTCATTTTCAATAGGGTGGGTGAACAATAATCCACGACTTCCCCCCTTTTTTCACTTTTTCCTGCCCGCTACACCTCAACGCATTTAGGGGAGAATCAGCTAGCTCGTGAACACCTAAAAAGGAATATTTATTATGGCTAGCAGATTAGCAGCTAAGTCTGCTTATAGTTCCGTTGTCCATAGCCATAGAAAAAAAAAGTATGATGAAGCCAAATGCTCTTGGATGGGCTGGATTGTTCTCGTATTCTTTGGGTTTTTTAAGTAGAGTTTTTCGCAAAATTTTTAGCTGCTTGATATGATAGCCCTTACTAATGTAGTGTCTACTGATTGGGTCTTGAATTAGAAAAACAATTCAAAATTCAAAAGAGCTCCGCGAAGGGGCAATTGAGCTGCTCCAACGATTCTACCCCTAAATTGGAGCTGTAGTATATTAAGGTCTCTTTATCAAAGTATTGCCTAAGAGCCATTCGTGCTCGTGTTTGGTGTGTGTATGTTTAAGTAGTGTCGTTTGTAAAATTTAACTAAAAGGGTGTGTGTGTGTTAGATGCAGATTTCTGGCAAGTGGACTCCATTGAGATTCGATCTTGAGAGTTGACGATAATGAGCCGAATGATGCGAAGGGTGTGTATAGAAACCTTGCACTAGTATAGTGTTGTGGCCAACACATTTCTAATACTTGAATCAGTGTTTTGAAGGAGGTGTGTTGACATCAAAAGGACTAGTCTTGCATACTTGCATATGAAGTATGTAAGGTAGGTTCTAATATTTACATAAGAACTTTAAAATGTCAACCTGTCCACCCTGTTGGTTTGTACCTAAACCGACAACATATGCTATACATACAACCAATTCATTTGGTGTCAAGTTTGTCTCATATCATGTATGCATGATCCTATGTCAGACATTGGGTTAGTTCCACACTTGGGGTGAGTAGCTTGGTCGAGATGAGGTCCTCAGCTTGTGACTCCAAGATAAGTTTTGGTCGATCATCTTTTTTGGCTTGGCCAATTCACTTGTTCGATGTAGCTTTCCAATGATATCCACATACCCCAGTTGGGCTATCATGTGTAGGAGTATTATTTCTCCCTTAACCATAACAAGGTATATAACAACCATAAGTGTTATGGGGAGATAAAAGAAGAATAGACCAAGCGATGGGGGTCGGAGGAAACTCGAGAGAAAGCACGAACCAGGAAAGGGGGCCGGCACCCGACGACTTGGGCCGGCCCCTGGCCGACCAGGCCTCGACGCCGAGGCCTCCTTGTCGCCAAGCAGTTCTCGGCCCCCAGCCAAGAACTGCAGCTGTTCATCCTGACCGTTTCGCAGTCCCACTCGAAGTATCTTGCCTTGATTCTCGATTTGACCGAAAACCCACAACGAACGAGCAAGCCCGAATATTGAGATGTATGAGGATTCGACTAGGGTAAACCCTAAAGGGATGAGAACTCGACTTCTATAAATGGAAGGGGGAGCCAAACCCTAGAGGTAAGCCAAAATACCCTACTATCTACACTCTAACTCCATTATCCATCTACTCTCCTTGCTAACTTAGACATTGGAGCTCGTGTGACTGGAGTCACACCGGTTTAGGTTTGAGGTTTTACAGGTTCTCTGTTTCCTGATTATCAAGTTTGGTGCTAACCTGGGAAGGAACCGGGAA